TCTTACACCATATACAAAAATCACCTCAAATGGATTAAAGAATTAAATATAAGGTCTGAAACTATAAAACTCCCAGAAGAAAACATAGAATGAAAACTCCATGACACTAGGCAATAATTTTTTTGGATATGGCACCAAAAGCATGGGCATCGAGCTCAAAAAGAAGTAAGTGGGCCGGGCTCGGTGGCTCAGCCTGTAATCCTAGTGCTTTGGGAGGCCGAGGCAAGAGGATTGCTGAGCCTGTGGATTCGAGACCAGTCTGGGCAACGGGGCAAGACCTCGTCTCTACAGTAAATCAAAAATTAACTGGGCGTGGTATCATGCACCTATAGTTCCGACTACTTGGAAGGCTGAGGCAGAAGGACATTGTGTAGCCGTGAGCATGCCACTGCACTCCAGTCTGGGCAATGGAGTGAGACTACAACTCAAAAAAAAAAGTCAGGTTCACGGGCTCAGCCTGCAATCCCGGCACTTTTGGAGGCCAAGGTGAGTGGACTGCCTGAGCCCACGGGTTCGAGACCAGTCCAGACAAGTTGGCAAGCCCTCATCTCTATAATAAATCAAAAATTAGCCGGGCATGGTAGCATGTACCTGTAGTTCTGGCTACTTGGAAGACTGAGGCAGAAGGATTGCTAGAACCTAGCAGGCCAACGCTGGGGTGGCCATGAGTGTGCCACTGTACTCCAGCCTGGGTGACAGAGTGAGATTCCAACTAAAATAAATAAATAAATAAATAAGTAGGCCAACATAAAATTAAAAAGTTTCTGTATAGCAACAGAAACAACGAAAAGATGATCCACAAATCCACATTGTGGCGTATATATGATGGAGTATTATTTGGAAAATTACAATGAAGGAAATCCTGCCATTTGCAACACATAGATGAACCTGGAGTACATTATATTAAGTGAAATACGTCAGACACAGAAACCACTTATATGTGGAATCTAAAAAATCAAACTCATAGAAATGGAGTAGAAGCGTGGTTACTAGTGTTTGGATGGTGGGAGAAATGGGAAGAGGTCGGTCAAAGGATACAAACTTTCAGTTGTAAGATGAGTAAGTTCTGGAGACCTAATGTACATCATGGTGACTATAGTTAATAACGTAATATATACTTGAAATTTTCCAAAATAGATTTTAAATAGCACCACAAAAAAGATACTGTGAAAGCATGAATATATCAATTAGCTTGACTGTGGTAATCATTTTACAATATATACGTGTATCAAAACATGTTGCACAGCATGATTATAAACAATTATTATTCATCAACTATACCGTAAAAAAGCTAAAAAAAATAACTTAAAAAAAGTAAAACAGAACTACCATATGATCCAGCAATCCCACCTCAGGGTATTTATCCAAAAGAATTTAAATCAGAATCTAGAGGAGATATCTGCACTCCCACGTTCACTGCAGAATTATTCACAAAAGCCAAGGGGTACAAATAGCCTAAATGTCTATCAACAGATGATAAACGGATAAAGAAAATGTGGCATATACATACAGTGGAATGTTACCCAGCCTCAAAAAAGAAGGAAATTCTGTCATGTGCTACAACATGGAAGAATCCTCACATTATGCAAAGTGAAATAAGACACAGAACAAATACTACATAAGACTCTACTTATAAGAAGTATCTAAACAGTTAGATTCAAAAACAGAAAAGTAAAATGGCAGATGCCAGGGGCAGAGAGGAGTGGGAAATGGGAAGTGCTGTTCAAAAAATATAGAGGTTCAATTATACGACATGAAAAAGTTCTAGGGATCTGCTTTACAACACTGTTGTTGCAATTAACAATATTGTACTATATACTTAAAAATTTGTTAACAGGGTAGATCTCATGTCATGTTTTTTACCACAGTGAAGGAGAGGAGAGAGAGCTAGACACTGTGGCCCACAGCCATAGACCCAGCTACTCAGGATGCTGAAGCAGGAGAGTTTGAGGCCACAGTAAGACCCTGTGGAGGAAAAGAGGGAGGGAGAGAAGGAGGTAAGCAAAAAAAAGAAAGAGAGAGAAAGTAAGCAAGCAATAGACCCACAATATACATGGACAACAGACTTTTAACACAGGTGAAAAACAATTCAGTCAAGTTTTTTCAACAAATAGTGCTGGAAAAATTGTACTTTCATATACAAAAAAAGTGAATTTCAACCTATACCTCACACCACATACCAAAAGTAACTTAAAATGGATCATATGTAGATCCAAATGTAAGAGCTAAAACTATAAAGCTGCTAGAAGAAACATGGGAGAAAAATCTCAGTGACCTTACGATTGACAAAATTTTCTTTGAAAAGATACAAAACAGGCACAGGCTCATGCCCGTAATCCCAGCACTTTGGGAGGCCAAGATGGGAGGACTGCTTGAGCCTAGGAGTTCAAGACCAGTCTGGGCAAGACCTTGTCTCTATTAAAAATTAAATGAATGAATAGAAAAAACACAAAATGCTGAATGTAACATTTTTTCTTAAATCAGTGAGTTTCACTTAAAATAAAACACTTTCTAAAAGACATTGTTAAGATCTTGGGAGATCACCTAAAGAGAGAGAGAGAAAAAAAGACACTGTTAAGAAAATAAAAAGGCAAGCCAAGACACAAACTGGGAGAAAATATTTGCAAACACATACCTGACTTATATCTAGAATATAGAAATAACTGTTATAATTTAATAATATAAACAACTCAGTAAGTGTACACAAGATGTGAACAGACATGTCACTAAAGAAGATACATGGGGGCACATCTCATCAACAAGGGTACCTACATAAACAGATTATCAAAGTCATTAATCATTAGAGAAGATTATCAAAGTCATTAATCATTTTGGGGGTTTTGAGACAGGGTCTCACTGCAGTCTCAACCTCCTAGGTTCAGGCAATCCTTCCACTTCAGCCTCCCAAATAGCTGGAACTACAGGCACATGCCATCACACCCAGCTTATTTTTTAATTTTTTTGTAGAGACAAGTTCTTGCTGTGTTGTCCAGGCTGGTCTCAAACTCCTGGGCTCAAAGTGATTCTCCTGCCTCAGCCTTTCAAAGTGTTGGGATTATAGGCGTGAGTCATCGTGCCTGGTAAGGCTATGTAACTATTGAAACTCTCATACACTGCTAGTGTGAATGTAAAAAAAAAAAAAAAAAAAAAAAAATGGCACAACCACTTAGGAAAATCATTTAATGTTTCTTCAAAACGAAACATATATCCATCAAATGGCTCAGCCATTCTTCTCCTAGTTATTTATCCAAGATAAATTAAAGCATATGTCCACATAAAGACTTATACAGGAATGTTCACAGGAGCTTATTTGTTATAGCCAAAAACTGAAAACAACTCAAATGTCTGTGTATATTAATACAATGGAAAACGACTTAGCAATCAAAAGAAATGACTGACTATACATGACATGAATACATTTTAAAATAATTATGCTGAGTGAAAGTAACCTGACAAAAGAATACGGCATGATTTTATTCATATAAAATTTTAGAAAATCCAAGCAAAGTTCCATGTCAGAAAGCAAATCAAGGGTTGCCTAGGGATTGGCAGGTAGAGGAAAGAAAAGAGAAAGGCACGAGGAGACTTTTGGGAGTGGAGGATATGGCTACTATCTTCATTGTAGTGATGGTTTTACAGGTGCATACATATGTGAAAACTTACCAAACTAAACACATTAAACATATGTAGTTTACTCTATGTATGCCAATTATACTTCAGTACAACTGTTAAAACAAAAGTACAGTAAAAAAAAAAAAAAAAACCACAATTATTATACATCTGTTGACATATTAATAAATTACTAAAATGCTTTTTAAGAACTTCTAATGACATGGGGAAATGCTTATAGTATATTATTAGATGAAATTAGCCAAATGTAAAATTACACACAGACTGATCACAATTATAGGGAAAGCGTTACACAAAAACAGACAAATTGATGGCTGGAAATATGTATGTTAGAAATAATTTTCTCTGGACTATGAATTTCAATTTTCTTCACACTTGTCTCTATCTCCCAAAGTTTCCTTTGTTATTGCTGTCATCTTATTTTATTACTGTTTTTGTTTTATCGGAACTTGCAATATTCTTATAAGCAAGAAATTTTAAAATAAGTGAAGTGAAATAATCTTGAGTGATTATCTGTCCTGACGAGTGATTCTCACCTATGCACACAGACCTCTGAAAGATCAAGGCAAGACTATGGGAATTCCTATGTTGACCAAGCATTAATCTGTAGGCCTAATATATTTCACATTCATATGCACTATTTATCATTACTATTTATCACTGTTCATAGATGGCATTCAAATTCAACTTACTGAATCTGTAGAACCTCTATTTCTTATATATCAACAGATGCTAAAACCACTAATGTAGAGGTCTTCAAAAACTCATTCTCACCAACTTATCGCTTATAGGCTACTTTAATTGCTATTTCTTCAGCTACTTTAATTGATATTTCTTCAGCTCCATACCAGTATGGAGATAGGGCTAAATGCAACACTTAGCATTCAATCAATAAACATTCATCGCATGCTCCTAATTCTTGCCCACAGCTTTTTATCATATTCTTAACCACTCTTTTTCTAAGCAACTATCAAACTTGTGCTCTGTGCTTTCTTACACTGTTCATACCCCAGAACATAATTTAAAGTTATAAAGGTAAATTAAACAACCAAATACCAAGGCCAAATATGTTCTGTACCCAGCAGTGTTTTGTAAAAGCAACTGCAGTTAAATATTCAGGCTTTTTGCAAATGAAAGATCAGGTTCCTAGCAGTATAATTCCTAGTTAAACGTGGCATAATTAGTCTGTGATTGATCTTCGGAAACTATTCAATGTGTGCTGGGGTTTATAGAACCCTGTAACTGCTCTGTGATAACCCTACTGGAAACTGAAGTCAACAAAAACTTAATTTTCATTATAAGATACACTACAAAAAGCAGAGCTATTAATTACAGTAAACTATTAGTTATTTAAAGGTAATTTAGTTTACCTCAAAGAATTATTCTCTGCTTTTTGTCTGCCAAGTTCACTTTCAGTATCCATTGCTTTTCTTGCTAGTGATTTCATTTCTTTTTCCACAGTTGTTATGGTATCCTTCATCAAAGTCATATTTGACATTTGCTCCATACGTTCATCATCAAGCTATACAAGTAGAATGACAAGGTTATTGCCATCATTATAAAAGCCTTAATAATCTTCCTGGAGGGACATACTCCACCTGTACAAACTGTGGTTTATGGCAAGATTCACATGATGAAATAATGAGGCTAGACCTGAAAACTGTGGAAGGTTTTATGGACAAGGTATTGTGTAGTAGGACCAAGAACAAGCCACTGCACAGCTTTTCTACAAGGCCTATCACAGTTTATCAGTCTACATTTTTCAATCTGGTTCAATTTGGCCATTCTATAAACATCCTGTTTGCAAAAGGATTTATTTATTGCCCAACATTAATAAATTACACATATAAAGTAGGGTTATAAAAATAAAATTTATTTTTCTCCTGTCTAGTGCCTTTTAAAACTCACTGTAACAAAAACTACAGATCAACTTGTAAATATATTCTATTAAGTTTAGTTACAGAAAGTTAAATTCCCTTAATTCTGTCTTTATAGTGACATTTCCAATATGTATTCATTGCATCTCAAGTATTTTATTAAGTCAGGCACAGTGGCTCATGCCTGTAATCCCGGAACTTCGGGAGGCCAAGGTGAGAAGATTGTCTGAGCCCAGGGATTTGAAACCAGTCTGGACAACTTGCCAAGACCTCATCTCTATAATAAATCAAAAAATTAGCCAGGTGTGGTGGTGTGTGCCTGTAGTTCTAGCTACTTGGAAGGCTAAGGCAGAAGGATTGTCTGGTCCCAGCAGGTCAAGGCTGTACTAGCCATGAGTATGCCACTGCACTGCAGCCTGAGTGACACAGTGAGACACCAACTCAAAAAAAAAAAAAAAAAAAAAAAAGATTTGATTAGTAAAAAGATGATGCTTCACATTTAAACTCAGCTTAAATATATTTTGCTCATGATTTTTATTTCAAAACTTTCTCTGCCTGCCCTATCTACTCCTTAGGTAGAATAAGTATTTTTCTTTATATCTGGCACTATTATCTTTAACAATACAGAGAGAAGAGAAAGTTGCTGAAATCCGTGAGAAGTAATCCCTAATGACTTTTTAAAAATTGCACACTTTGTAACCTAACACACAAAAAATTTTATTTACATTTTTAAAAGGAAATAAGCAAGTGAAAAAGTGACAATTTACACCATACATACCACCTGAAGTATTTCAGGACTACAAATTCTATCTTAGAAAAATAAAACAAATTCTCTGAACACAGAAAAAAGGGAAAGGGGAAAGCCCCTGAGAGTTTATAGTCAAAAGTGATTTTTTGTTACATTATGAACTGTACACTCCAGCTCTTCTATCCTTTGTTCCAAGTGCGCCTTCTCATTAAATGCTGTCTCTTGAGCAATCTGTTTAAAAAACAAAACAAAGTGCTTTCAATGCTATTGCATTTGTGTTTCTCATATGTTCATATAGATACAACTCTTTCCAACCTTTAGCCTTTCCCTCAGACTGTCTCGTTCTGTGGTCATTCTTCGTAAATCAGTGAAGGCTACATCTCTTTCAGTCTCCACTCGCCTGAGAATAGCATGTGCTGTTGTTGATTTAGGAGACTTACAGTTTTTCATCATTTCTCGTCGAAGTCGGGCAATTTCTTCCTGTGCCTGTTATTTAAACACACAGAATTTTGTTTAACAAGCTTTAAGACAGGCATAACTATATCTAACCAGTTAAAATGCAAACCTATGTTAATGTGCATGCAGCAGGGTAATGGTGTAATTTTTATTTTAAAATGAGTTTATACAAATAAATGCAAATGAATTTATTTAAATAAAAGTTCACTTATCTTTGCCAAAATTTTAAAATAAAACTAATCTGGAGGAAGTAATTGCAACAGAGAATGTTGTCCTAAGAAATTTATTTGGTATATTCCATTTACCCTTCTTGTGGTAGAGATTTGGATTCAGCATAATTTTATAATACTGATATAATGAATTACCATAGTGTTTCAGCCTTTCTCTATATAAATGTATATGCCATATCCAGGTCCTGGCTGCTTTTATCCTGACAGAAAAGCAAAATAATCCTTATTGACAACCCAACATAATCTCTGCATGCTTGTTCAACCATCCTTAGGTCCCAAATTTATTTCATATGCAGGTGATTTCATATCCTACTTTGCTGCAAAAGTCTCCTTATCTTCCTTCCTCTTGATTTTGGTCACAAACTATTCAGCTAGTCTCCGAGCCTCACACAAAGATATATTACTTCCCAATTTCCATAGCTAAGCCTCCATCAGAACCCCAAACCTCATCTCCTAGGGTGTCTTCTAAGATCTCCTTGACTCAATTACAATTATTTCCTCTCACCTTAAATAGTGCCCTCACCACTGGTTCTTTCTCCCTTGCCTTCAATCATGTACAGGGCTCCCTTATCTTGAAATCCTGTCACTTGATCCTTCTGACCCATGTACCATCCTATGTCTCTTCTTCCTTAGACACACTAAAAAAAAAGTAGCAGTCTGTACCTACTGCCAATAGTTTCTTACCACCCACTCTCTCACTCAGTGTAACTTGGCTCCCAACCCCACGACATTCTGCAGAATTTCAACTAATGACCTTACCAAACCTCACGGCTTTTTCTCAGTTCTCATTCTCCTTGATATTTTGGCAAGATTTGAAGTTGTTTTCAATCCCTTGAGATTTCTTCTTTCTTTGGGATTATAACATTGTTCTGCCATAGTTCTCTGTCTTCTTCATCTCTTTCAAAGGTTCCTTTCTGCCTTTTAATCATTGCATCTTGACATCTCTGCTCCTCTATGTATAGCTTTTTTCATTCAGAGACCTCAAAAACCCTGAAAGCTCAAAACTCACTTCTAAGTTTAGATGACTTCTAAAGCTACCTATTCAGTTCTTGCCCCTCTTCATTCCAGTCCTACATTTCTTACTGCCTGATGGCAATTGCTACCTGAATGAAGAACCATCATCTTACTCTGTCTGTTTGAAACCAAACTCTCATATTTTTCCTCAAACCACCAATGACTTTCCCATTTCTTCTTTTATTACCACAATGTTCCCAGTCACTCAAGATAGACTTTTAGTCACTTCCATTCATCCCTCCTTCTTCCTAAAATCAAATCTTTGTTAAATCTTCCTTCACGGTGTCTTTTTTACATCTGTCCTTATATTTATTTCCACTAAAATCACCCTCACTTAGTCCCTTAATGCCATATGCATGGACTACTGTAACAGCCTTTTAAGGAGTCCAAGTTCTCTTCCCCTTCAATTCTCTCGAAGGAGAAATTGTTGTATAAGAAGATAATATAGAACGATTATGTGAGAGAGAATAAAAAATTACTACCAGTTTAAAATTGTAAAAATGCTACTATGATCATATTTCTCCTGCCTTAAAAAAAAAAACAGATTGTCCACTGCTTATAAAGCAAAATATAAACTACTTTTGAGGCCCACTGAAGAGTCTCTACCATTTAGTCCAGAAGTCTGCAAACTACAGGCAATTCACAAGGCAAACCAAGCCTGTCTCCTGATTTTGTAGGTCTATAAGCTGAAAAGATTTGGGGAAATTATGGGGGAAAATATCAAAAGAAGAATATTTCATAACAGGTAAAAATAATATGAAATCCAAATCTCAGTGTTCATAAATAAAATGTTACTGTAATACAGTTCAACTTATTAATTTACATATTATCTATGGTTGCTTTCATACTACAATAATAGAACTGAATAGCTGCAACAGAGACCACATAGCCTGCAAAGCAGAAGATATTTATCATCTAGGCACTCACAGAAAAAAAAAAAAGTATAGACTCCTGCTTTAGTCCAATCTACCTTTCAAGTCTTAGTTCCCCCTTACTCCACTAACATATACCCTCTATTCTAGACTCAAACCGAGCTGTTTATCTACAGATTTTCCTGCCTCTATTCTTTGCGTCATACTTTTACTTTGATCTAAAGTGTTTTTCTTAGCCCCTTTCAGGTTAATAGAAACCCTAGTCATTCTTTAGGGCTCAAACTTCACATCTTCTAGCAAAGACTTCCTGGATCACTATAACTAAAAATGCCTGTTTCTTTTATTTCTTATAGTATTTTCCAGACCACTTATTCTACAGTAACAAAAATAAATCAAGACAATTATCTCCCCAACTAGATCGTAAATTTATAAAAAACAGGATCTGTGTCTTATCATCTTTCTTTCCTTTAGAGTAGTAAGTCTAGAACTCTGCATGTAGTAGCTACAATTCTTTTAAAATTTTGATATTTTTAAAAGAAATTATGTTGGCAATTTATGAAACTTAATACTTGTTGGGAAAAGAAGCTATGTGATTAATAAAAGTTATGCAATTTTAAACTAGAAAGTAGTGACAAACTACACACTGATTTTACTCCTAAAATTAAGCAAATTATCTGGTGGTTCCCAAAGTGATATATTTTTTAACCCCCAAAATTCTGATCTTTTCACCATGATCTTACCAACCTGTCAATCAACACCTTCCTCACATCTTATTCCCCACATCAGTCTATTTTATGCATGTATATAATTTGGGGCGGTATGGGGATAATATGTAGGTGTAGTCATACACTTATGGTGTTGGAAATACATTAACGTTTCATTAAGAATATCTTAAGAACAAATGCAATTCTCAAATGTTAGGCTAATTTGATTGGCAGGTTTAAGCACTCTCACAGAAACTTAATTATACACCTCTAAACACAATGTTATTACTCACAAAATCAGTTTATTAATAAATACCTGTTCATAAAGAAGGAAGGTCTTATCTCTCTCAGATGTAAGAACCTTGACATTACCCTGAATTTCTGCCAAATGACGCTCATATTTCTCCAGCATGCATTTAAGCTCTTCACGATCTCTTGTTGTTGACTTCAAAAGTTCTACATCACAGTTTGTACCCTACAATTATTATATAAGGAATTTGAAACTCTTCTTTGACATATGGCGCTAACTAAAAAGGTACTACTGATGGCAGTACACAATCTCTACTTAAGCAAACAAGACTATATAATGAAATCAAACTATGAAGTTACAAAATTGCCTCTTTTAAACAGCTTCATCCCAAATTGCTCCACATTGTCTGATTATCTATCTCCCAAGTGCTACCTATGCTGAGCATAAAGAACCACAAGAACCAATACTGATGGTCTACTGTGCCATCAGAGACTTCTGTCTCCTAACATCTTTTTTGAGTCAGAATCTCACTGTCGCCCAGACTGGAGGACAGTGCCACAATCATGGTTACCTCAGCCTCAATCTACCTTAGCCTTCCAAACAGCTGGGACTTACAGGCACACGCCACCAAGCCTGGATAATTTTTTCATTTATTGTAGACATGAGGTCTTGCCATGTTGCCAAGGCTGGTCTTGAACTCCTATGCCCATGTAATCCTCTCACCTTGGCCTCCCAGAGGGCTAGGATTACAAGCATGAGCCACCGTGACTAGCCCCAACGTCTTTGATATAGCAATTCATACCAAAATCAAAATGAATTCTTTCCAGGTTAGGTAAATCAAAGTATAAAAAGTCAGTATTTGAGGAACAAATCCCAAAATATGCAAAGTTTCTAAAACCTACCCGGGCAGTAGGAGACAGGCGCCTTGGACTTTTAGATCTACTTCTCATCATTTTTCTCAAATTTTGAACTTCACTCTTGTAGTAATCTCTGTCTGCTTCTAATGTCTTGACAAAGGAATCAAGTCTGGAAGGAGATTTATTTTGTGCTTTTTCAGTCTCTAAAATTATCTTGCCAAGGAGGAAAAAATTAGGCCATTATTTCAAGCTAAACTATAGCATCAATTTCTAAATGAACCTGAAAACAAATAGGATCCTTAAAAAAATAAATTTGATATTTTAAAAACAGAACATTTAAAAATTATTTATAAAGAAATGCAAATTAAAACTACACTGAGATACTTACCACCTAATTCCAGTAACGATGGCCATCATCAATAACTCAACAAACAACAGATGCTGGAGAGGATGTGGGGAAAAGGAAACACTTCCACACTGTTGGTGGGAGTGTAAATTAATACAAACTCTGTGGAAAACAGTTTGGTAATTCCTAAAAGATCTAAAAATCAACCTTCCATAAGACCCGCAATACCCCTACTGGGAATATACCTGGAGGAACTCACATCACTCTATGACAAAGATACCTGCACATGTATGTTCACTGCAGCATTGTTTACAATAGCAAAAATGTGCTGCCCATTGAAATAAGACTGGATTTTTAAAAATGTGGCACATAACATGATGAAATATTATGCAGCCATAAAGAAGGACAAAATTATGAACGTCATAGCAACTTGGACGGACTTAGAGTCTATAATACTGAGTGATCTGTGGCAGAAATAAAGAAATGAGTATCACATGTTCTCACTCATAAGCGAACCTTGAACAATTATCATAATACTATAAGAAGAGGATTGGCAGTTGGGAAACTGCTGGAGGGGGGGGTGGGATTGGTAATTGAGAAAAGCTGCCAGGGAAGCTGAGGACACACCTCATCAGCAAGGGTACCTACATAATGAACATTTGTATACCTAACCCTGAATTGTACCCCACATCTTTAAAATTAAAAACTTTAAAAAAATTATTTATGAATAATTTTGTAAAACAGATATCTTCCTTTTCCAGCATTTTGGGTATGCTGTATTTAACTGAAAGCACCCCTAAATTTACTCAATAATTTTGGAGAAAAACTAGTAAAGAAGTTTTAGAGAGGCCAGAAAAGTCCACAGGCCAAGAACAAGCCTCAGAAATGAAATTAATTTGTTTTAGAAAAACTTAATGCTGCTATTAAGCATCTGTTATAGTCTAAGTTTTGTTCAATACTGTTCTATGAATGAATAAATGATATCCCATACTTGTATGCACTTTCAAATGCACTTCCATTCACTTTAATATATTCAGAAACACTTCTTTTACAACATTTATTTTAAAATACTTTATTGGGAGAAAATTATAGATATACTTTCAGACACTGTTTTAATTTTTAAATGACAACATTAAATATTTAAACAGAGCTGTTTTCATTTCACATTGATAAGTAAAACATATTGTTTGAAATTAAGTACCAAAATTTATGGCTTTAAAATATTTATTACTAAGGGGAATAAAAGTTAATATATAATGCAGAAGATTGAAACAGGACTCCTACCTATCACCATACACAAAAATTAACTCTAAATGGATCAAAGACCTAAACACAAAACTTCAAACTATAAGAATCTTAGAAAATGCAGGAGACATGCTTATGAAAATTAGAACTGGCAACCAATTCCTGATCAAAACCCCAAGTGCCTATGCCATAAGAGATAAGATAGAAAATTGGGACCTCATCAAACTGACAAACTTCTACAAAGCAAAAGAAGCCATCAAGAGTGCAGAGAGAGAGTCCACAGAATGGGAAAAAATACTTGCCAACTGTATATCTGACAAAGGCCTAACATCTAGGATCTATAAGAAACTCAAGTGTGCCAAAAGAAAAAAAACAAACAGCCCCATTAAAAAGTCAGCAAAAGACATGAATAGACCCTTCTCAAAAGAAGAAATACGGGCAGCCAACAGACACATGAAAAAGTGCTCAGCCTCACTCATCATCAGAGAAATGCAAATCAAAACACTGAAATACCACCTAATCCCAGTAAGAATGGCCATCATTAATAAAACAAACAACAACAGATGCTGCCGAGGATGCAGAGAAAAACGAACTCTACATTGTTGGTAGGAATGCAAACTAGTACAACCTCTTTGGAAGACAGTGTGGCGATTTCTGAAAGAACCAGAAATTGACCTGTGAGCCAGCAATCCCCCTATTGGGAATATACCCGGAAGAACTTAAATCATTCTACAAAAAAGATACCTGTATAAGCAGGCTTGTTGCAGCTCTAGTCACACTAGCAAAAACATGAAACCAACCATGCTGCCCACAGAAGTTGAACTGGATTAAAAAAAAATGTGGTACATATATACAGTGGAATATTGTGCAGCCATAAAGGGCAAACGTATGGACTTTGCAGTCACTTGTATGGATTTAGAGTCTATCATACTCAGTGATCTATCACAGAAACAGAAAACAGAGTACCATATGTTCTCATTCATAAGTGGACCTTGAACAATTATCATAATACTATAAGAAAGGGATTGGCAGTAGTGGGAAACTGCCAGGAGAGGAGAGTGGGATTGGCAGTTGAGGAAAACTGCCAGGGGAGGGGGAGGGCACACCCCATCAATAAGGACACCTGCATAATGAACAATTGTATACCTAGCCCTGAATTGTATCCCACCTCTTTAAAATAAAAAATTTAAAAGTTAAAAAAAGTTAATATATCGACAAATGTACCTTATATTTGAGAATTAAGTTATTCAGAGTCATCATTTTAAATGAAGTCACAGCTAAGGGCATTAATAAAACTATAAATAATTTTCTATAGTTTACTAACTGAATGATTCCTTAACATATATTTATTAAAAATGTACTTACAGATCTAAGCCTTTTTATTGTATCTTCCAATACTATTATGTTATTTTGCTGGCAAATGAGTTCAATCTGAAAAACAGCAAAAAAATTTTTATTATTTATATTAAAGATGCTTAAAGTGATTTACTTGGAAAAAGAGCATCAAAGCAAAAGAAGCCACTAAAAATAAAAGCATGAAGGCTGAATATTTTAAAGAAAAGGTAACCCACTCCTACGTTTACCTACCTTTGATGGTAAAAGATGAAATTTAATTCAACTAGGATGAAATACAGCAGATCCTTTAAATTATTCAATATTTTGTATAAAATGATAATTGACTATATTTTACCAAATTACTCCCCATGAACTGGAACAAAATGTTAATATTCATTATAATTTTGAAGATGATAAATGGGAAGTGATAACATAATGACTAAAATAATAGGGGATTTCCCAAGTTACCCGACTCAAAAGAGATTGTTTTCTCCTCTGAACTCTTTTAATGCCTTAGTTCAATTCAACCTACAAAATGCTTTTTGTATCAATTTTATGACAGTGAACATATCCAGTCTTAGCATAATGACTACATTTTATGTCCCTAAAGGACAGTGACTAAGCTATTGTGCAAAGCAGTAAAGTTCTTGGATAAAAGTTAGCACATTAGTTTAATAAATATATTTTTCAATTCATCAACCTTTCCCTCATTATTCTAAACTGTGTCCTAATCTTGCCTGTTGTACTTTAAACTTGAACTTTCTGAAACTAATGCACTTCACTTGTTCTTTGACCAAGGTTCTTTCCTAAAATGTCTCTGGCAATCATAGTAAGTTCATGAAATATTAAGCAGTGCTATTATTTGGAACTTATGTACAGTTTGGATAACCTTATGCATAATTTTGAATAGATAATTTTAAAAGTTTTAATTGATACTACTATGTAGACTAGTACTCTGGTAACTCTTCATATCACATAAATCTTTTGCCTTTTACTATGTAGGCACTAAAAAGACATGGGTCTATTTGAATAATACTAAAGATTTCTATGCAGAAGTATATAGACTCACATTGTAAAACAGTATCTAATACAACATATTCTCAAAAAATAAATTTATAAACACATAGATAAAACATAATAATATGTAAACATAAGATTATGTCTGGGTATAACAAGGTAGGTGCTATTTTCTTCATTATAATTTTCTATATGAACCAAAAATTTTATATTAAGTAATAAACATATATTATTCTTATAATAAAAAGTCCTGATTCTACTCTGTAAAACAAAATCACTGGCCCAAATGAAAATAATGTCAGTCCAGTGTTTCCATTTATTTGACAAGTAATGAATGCTTATAATATGCCTGACATTCTGTTACATGCTGGGTAAAGCAATGAATAAAATAGACAAAAATCACTACCCTCATGGAGTTTATATTCCAGTTTTTAAAAAGGAAAACTAAAGATATTAGTCAAACTATGTCAGGTAGTAATTATGTCACACAAAAAATAATACAATGAGCACTCATGTTCTAGGCATTTGAGATTAAAAGAAAGTGACCAAAACAGATGAAGATCTCTGCCTCTGGGGACCTTACATTCCAGTTGGAATGGACAATTAAAAAAATAAACACAACAAAAAAATTATACAGTACTATCAAAGAAGGTATGGGGAGAATTTATGGAGGAACAGGTTGGAATTTTAAATAGGGTGATCGGGGAGCCCTCACTGAAAGGGGACCTTGAAGTAAAGACTTTGGAGGAAAAGTAGTAGTAGTCAACCATATGAAAATGTCAAAGAAAAACCTTCTGGGCAAATGGTACAGCTATAGTAAAGATCCTAAGGCAAAAGAATGCCTGGTAAATTCCAAAGAACAATCAGGTCAATGTGGCTGGAACAGAGCGAGGGAGGGAGAAAGGAGGTAGGAAAGGGCTACAACAAAAAACAAAGTAGGGAAGAGAGATAGGGATCATGTGCAGGAATGGGGTGGGGTACAAACTTATATAGGATTTACACACTGTCCTCCACACAATAGGCTCTGAAGCATACTTTCATTGAATCGCATGCAAAGGTTACAATAATGACAGAGATCCAGTCCAGCAACAGCCACATGTCAATAAAAAATTAAAACTATATGAGGAAGCTAATGATAAAACTGCAATTCTGCTTCTTTGCATGGTCAGCTGTCTGGGAAACACTGTATTAAGGCATGAATGACAAACAGGATGAGAGGATATACAGAGACATATAGTTATGGTGCTTTCAAAGTATGTCTACAAATTCTAACACTCCTTTCAAAAGGTGTTTTACTTCCCTCCCCTTGAATGTGGGTTATTCTTAGTGACTCACTTTTAATGGTGATAGCAGAGAATTCACCGACAGAATACTCACACTCTAGGGCCTAACAACCCTTTAAAATTGATGACTTCTAGGCCAGGCACAGTGGCTCACATCTGTAATCCCAGCACTTTGGGAGGCTGAGGCAACAGGATTGCCTGAACTGAGGAGTTTGAGATCAGCCTGGTCTCCACAAAAAACCATAAAATTAGTCTGGCATGGTGGCACATGTCTGTAGTCTCTGCTATGGAAGACTGAGGCAGAAGAATCACCTGAGCCCACAGGTCAAGGCTATGGTGACCATGACTGTGCCACTGCACTCCAGACTGGGCGAAAAAAAAAACCAGGGTATTCTCATTATTGGAATTCAGCCAACTTGGCTTTACTCAGCCTGGGAAGGGATGCAGATAATTTTTAATTTGAAGAAGAAAACAAGGAAGACATAATAAAACTCTTCAATTTTGATAATTTTTACAATTAAGATAAAAACTGAACTCATTTTACCAAACTATGAGTGAAGGATAATTATTCTTAAAGAAGGTAACAAACAAAAGTGTTTACTGAAAAATGTTTACAATAATTTAAACTACTTTTAAATGTATTTCAAAGACTTTAAGTAGCAACCATTAGAAGATAAATAATTAAAAAGTTAAAAACAAACCATTCTTATCTACTCTCTCAAGTTGCTCTACTAAGTACCTCTTCAAGAAAACATTGTTAGATACTATGTCCTTACATTATAGTAATAAATTTTATGCATTCAAATATTCCATTATTCAACTTTTCACTTAATTTTGACTTATTCCTTAAGTAGTATAAATAAGTGTGAGATTACTACATAAAAACACATGCTATCCTAGAGTTTATCAACTGGACTGTTCTATTTCAAATCACTGTAATAACACCTTCACTAACATGTTCTCAGAGTAATCATATATTGAATTAATTATTTTACTATATGTCATAGGAGTCTTGATACATTAAAAGACTGTTTAACAAATAATATGTAATAGCATTTAGCTTTGGAAAATTACCTTATTACAGACACAGTGTACCAACTTGGTAATTAATAAGATCAAGACAAACACATTTATACAATATCATTTAAAAATTAAACAGGTTGTTTTTTGGCCTTCAAAATGCTCTGTCTTGCTTGTAATCTATTAGGCAGAAATGAGAAATGAAACTGTCTTTATTTTACAATTGTGTTCAAATTCTAGTTACAATTTCTAAATTTCTAAATTTCATGGCAGAGTGTTAACATTCAATGAAGAAATAAAATGTTCATCAAAATATCATAAAACTAAGGTAACTAATGTGATAGTGGCAAAGAAAAAGGCAAACAAATCAATGAAAACAAACAGTCCAGAAACATTCACAGACAGATTAGAATTTAGTGTAATTACTTTAAACAAGGCACGGTGGCTCATGCCCATAATCCCAGCACTTAGCTGAGGCAGGAGGACTGTTTAAGCCCAGGAGTTTTAGACCAGCCCAGGCAACATAGTGAGACCTTGTCTCTATAAATAAATAAATAAATAAATAAATAAATAAATAAATAAATAAATAAATAAAATGATACTTCAAACTTCAAAATAGTACTTCAAATCAGTGGAGAAAGGACTATTCATTTCTACCTCATATTAGGACAAAAAGAAATTCCAGAAGTATTAAAATTTAAAGAAAACTACTAAAAAGTACTTAAAACTTTAGAAAATATGTTTTAGTTCTTAAGGTGATAAGGCCTTCCTAACAAAAATCAAAACTCAGAAATCGGTAAAAATTGACAAATTTAACCACACAGAATTTTAAAATTTTGGTTAAAAACTTTTAATTGACTTTATTAATATATAGGAATTGTCCATACTTTATGGGGATATTTTAATACATGCATATACTGTATAATGATCAAATCAGGATAACTAGGATATCCAATCACCTCAAACATCTATCATTTGTGTTGAGGATATTCTAACTCTTTACTTCTAGTTATTTTGAAATATACAATTAATTATTTTTAACTGTAATCACCCTACTGTGCAAGAGGTCACCAGAACTTATTCCTCCTATCTAGTTTTGTACCTGATGATAAACCTCTCTCCATCCTTTGTTCCCTCTCCCCTTCCCAGTCTCTGGTAACCACCATTCTATTCTCTGACTCTATGAGATTAACTTCTAGATCCCATATATGAGTGAGAACATGTGATATTGTGTTTCTGTGGCCAGTTTATTTCAGTTAACATAATACCCTCCAGGGTCATCCATGTTGCTACAAATGACAAGAATTCATCTTTTTTTTTTTTTTTTTTTTTGAGTCAGGCTCTCACTCTGTAATCCATGCTGGAGTGCAGCGGCACAATCACAGCTACTGCAACCTCAAACTGCTGGGCTCAGGCGATCCTTCTATCTCAGCTTCATGAGTAGCTGGGACTACAGGTTCGGGCCACTCCACGCAGCTAATTTTTTTCATTTATTGGACAGACGAGGTCTCACACCATGTTGCCCAGTCTGGTCTTAAACTCACGCAATCCTCTCACCTCGTCCTCCCAAAGTGCTGGATTACAGGCATGAGCCACCATGCCTGGCCCTTCATCCTTTTTGAAATGTTTGAATAATATTCTACGGGGCACATACACTACATTTTCTTTATCCATTCATCCATTGACAGACACTCAGGCTGATTCCAAATCTTGGCTATTATGAGTAGTGCTGCAATAAACATGGAAATGGAGATACCTCTGATTTCCTTCCTTTGGGGTATATACCCAGCAATAAGATTGTGTAATCATATGGTAGTTCTATTTTTAGTTTGGTAAAACATCTTTGTCAAAGGAATGAAATAAACATGTGTGTGAAAACAGACAGATGGAAATAAATGTAGTTGTTTGTATGTATCGCTGCAGAGGAAAGAGGAACTGGAGAGGGAGAGCAACATTCACAGAACATTCTTGCGGCTTTGAAGTTTTTACAATCACTATATATTACTTAGAAAAATTTTTGAGCAACATTTTTAAAAGAAATAAAACATGAGAAACAATATAATTTAATCTTTAAAGTAGACATTTAAATAGATCAAATCTAAAAAGCTCCCATATTACAAAAAGGAGAGTGTCATTTTTTCCATTGCATTTGATAACTACACAAAGTTTAAAGTAGAATTAAAATCCTAGTCAGTACAAATCTAGTACCTTTGCTTCTTCAAGTTCCTTGTCAGCGGTATCTACCACAAAATTTTTCTCTTTTTCTAGTTGCTCTGCTAGTTGGTCAATTTTAATCAATTCTTTACAAAGATGCTCATTGTGGCTGGTTAAATCATCTACTTGACAGCTTACCACCTCCTTACTATCCAAGAGTTTCCTAACACATTCCTCCAAGTCATGATTTGTCTGTTTGAGATCTTCAATCTGTTACAATTAGAAAGAAAATAATCACATTAAAAGATTTTCGTAGGGGAGGCACACTTCATCCACAAAGGTATCTAGGTGAAGTGGGGACCAAAGGGAGACCCAAACTTTACCTGTACAATGACCACTTATATATCTAATCCTGAATTATACCTCACAGCTTTAAAATTGAATTAAATTTTAAAAAAATAAATGATGTATTATAATAGGAAAAAGATAAAAATGAAAAATAAAAGATGTTTCTTAGCTTTCTTCTAAGAAGAGCAATCAGGTGATTGAAATCAGAAGGGAGATCTGCTTCCCTGGCAAAGAAACTTAACTGTATACCATTTTGTGTCTTTTTGTGGAATATGACTGTATTACCTATTTTTTAAAATATATCAAATGAAAATTTAAAGCTTTTATAGCAATATATTTCAGACAATTTAGTTTTTTTAAGTAATTACTATTGATTTTTTAACCAAACTACTAGAAAAATGGCCAAATATTTTTACCTGAAATAAAGAAACCATGGTCTTGAAATTAATTTTAATAACTGACATATTAAAAATTCCTTAGAATTAAGTGTTTAATTATAGTCATCAAAATACATTAACTCTTTAGAAAAGTCCTTTTGAACATATCAGTAACTTACTTGACTAAGCTAAATACCAAATCAACCAAGTATTTGCTGACTAATATGGAGGACCACACAGCTTTCCTTCCCAGCCCACTATCAAACCATCAACGGATGAAGAAAAGGGCCTTTTCTATCACGAAGGTATCCGATGCCTTTAAAGGAAAGAAAAATCATTAGACCCACTGAACAACAATTATGTCAGGAATTATATTAAATTCCAAAGATACAATGATAGAAACCTGCCTCAGAGAATTTTTTTGTTTACTTGAGGAATATGTTAAGTACAATAACAGAAACATCTATGAGATAAAGTAGCAGCACAAATACTCTTCCAGAGTACTGGAAATACTCTCATTGTGTATTTAAAAAATAGGTATTGAACACCTACAGTGTTCAAAACACTGAGTTGATATCATGTAGAAGATAAAAAACAAAACCAAAAAAACACACAAAAAAAGAAGTCTGTCTTTAAGGAGCATCTAAGATTGCTAATTCCCTGACCTCTCAGTTTTTCTGTTAGTCTTGCCCTGACCTTGCCTTTTCTAATAACTGTAAACATACCTTCTTCCAAACCATCAATGTCAAGGAAGTTGTCTTTAAAAATATAAGTTTTATCTAATCTGCCACTATATAAGACATATCCTAAAGGTCACAAATTGTTTTTATCTAAATATGCAACAATGTCATTTATTATACCCAATAAATAGCACATCAAGAGGCATGACAAAAGTCATTAATTTAATCCAACACTTGCTTTGGCACACTAGTTTGAAAGATTTAGCGGTAAAGAGTTTTAATTATCAAAAACAAAAAAATTGAATAATTTTTTTAAAAATAAAAAGGGAACTTATAAACGCATAATGTCCTTGAGTCTTTTTATCACAAGTGAATTTTAGCAATACCCCCTACTTTCTTCTTTTGGCCCTGTTCCCTATACCGCTAAAAATGCAAATTTAAGTTCATTCCTCTAACATGATAGTGCATCGCAGTGAGAATAAAATTTTAAAACGCCATCTATGATCCCAGCCCTATTCATCCGTCCAGCCTAACTTCCCGTTATCCCCAACATATACCTAAACTCCAGACACTGTTAAGAAACAATCTCACAAAACTCATTTATAAACTTATTTTAGGAAGTTCCCGAAATGTTACACACTATATATCACAGAACCCTCTTTATGAGAAAATCCTCAGGGAAAACCTTGCTCAGGCCTCAATTTCAGGAAAATGCATGCTTCTTTTGGATTCCTGGTTTGTTCTTACCTCAATGACCAATGACTTTTAACTAATATTTATTTTTGCCTTTGCCTCTAGGAATTTTAAAGCCAAATCTACAGCCCACCTCTAGCAACTCTTACAGAAACTGTGTACAATGAATGATCTGTTTGTTATTCTATTATTCTCGCCCCAGGCTTTCACTGTTTCCTTATTTTCCCCTACCCTTATCTCAGCTACTTTCATTTATTTTTAACAAACTATAGGATGGGAGGTAAACAGATTAACTTCAATTAACCTATCTAAATTTTTTTTGTCTTCGTAGCTTCTACTGTGTCACATTTCTCAGTAAGAACAACACAGTAAAAATGTCTCTCAACCTCCCATTGCACCAGGAAAGGTTAAAGTTAAATGTTTCTCCTTTCCTTTACGTCTTCCCATAAAGCCTCTCATATAGCTTTATCTTAGTATTTTATACGATGTCTTAAAATCATTTATTTCCCTGTTCCTCTAAATTCTAAGCACCTTAAAAGATTGTATCTCTCATTTCTGTATCAACGTACCACTAACTTCTGTATCATTTATTATGTATCTTGCAAATAATGCTCAAGTTATTGTTATGTGAGTAAATAAGACAAGTTATCAGTATATAAATGAACACTCCCCTTATCTCTGGCATCAAACTCCACCTCTACTCAATTCCAAAAGTACTTTAGAAGAGGCAGCCTAAAGTAGCAGAAAGGATACAGGCTTTGCTTTGGAATTTGGGCAGAGTTAGGTTTAAATCCTGTTGTAGTTCTTTACCAGCTATGCAACCGTGGGCATTTCACCATATTTTCTTGGTCCCAAAAGATGCATCTGACTTCAGAAAAAATAAAGGGGAACCCTTTGAGTCTTGTCTGTTAAATGGACAGAATGTCTACAATTTGCAGAGTTGTAGTTAGAGATTATATAAAAGCTCAAGTAAGCTGGGCTGGGTGGCTCAGCCTGTAATCCCAGTGCTTCGGGAGGCCAAGGTGAGTGGATTGCCTGAGCCTGCGGGTTCGTGACCCGCCTGGGCAAATTGGCAAGACCTCATCTCTACAATAAATAATTAGCCGGGCGTGGTGGCACGCACCTGTAGTTCCGGCTACTTGGGAGGCTGAGGTGGAAGGATCGCCAGAGCCTAGCAGGTCGAGGCTGCGGTGGCCGGGAGTGTGCCACTGCACTCCACTCTGGGCGACAGAGTGAGACTCCAACTCAAAAAAAAAAAAAGCTCAAGTATCTATTTCAGGTAGACAAAAGGTACTCAAAAGTAGTTTTTTTTTTAACTTTATTTTTAAATAACTAAAGGTTCACAGGAAGTCACAAAGGTAGTATGGAGGTCTCATGTGCCCTTTACCCAGTTTCTCCAATAGTTGGATCTTAAATAATTACAGCACAATAGCAAACCCAGAGATTTGACACTGACACATCCCCCGTGCATATAGCATTCTTTACTGTCTCACGTGTGCAGATCACTCCAATTACCACCTCAAGATACAGAACTGTTTCATGACCACAAGATCGTTCTCCTGCTACCCCTTCATTTTTATTTATCTTTATTCATTCATTCATTTATTTGTGCGTTTATTTATTTATTTTTAAGTCGGAGTCTCACTCTATCACCCAGGTTGGAGGGCAGTGGCACGCTCATGGCCACAGCAGCCTCAACCTGCTGGGCTCAGGCGATTCTTCCACTTCAGGCCTTCTAAATAGTTGAATCCACAGGTACATACCACCACACTTGGCTAATATATATGTTTTTTTTAATTGTAGAGACAAGGTCTCACCAAGTTGCCTAGGCTATCTTGAATCCCCAGGCTTGGGCAATCCTCTCGTCTCCGACTCCCAAAGTACTGGATTACAGGCATGAGCTACTACACCTGGCCATCATGCTACCTCTTTATATCTACATCCTTTCCCTCCCCACCCTCAACTCTCAGCAACCACTAGCCTGCTAATTCTGTTATTTTGAGAATGTTATATAAATAAAGTTATACAGGGATTATCTTTTTTCACTCAGTACAATGTTCTTGAGATTCATCTAAGTTGTTAAGTGAGTCAATAGCTCATTCCTGTTTATTTTGAGTAATATCCCATGGTATGAATAACCACAGTTTAACCTTTCACCAATCACAGGAAACTGATTGTTTCCAGTTTTGAGCTGTAACAGACAAAGCTGTTACAAACAACTCAGTACAAGTTTTGAGCATATATAAGTTTTCATTTCTCTGAAATAAATGCCCAGAAATGCAATTGCTGGGCTATATGGTAAATGTATGTTTAGTTTATTAAAAAATTGCCAAACTCACCAGGTACACGAGTGATCTGGTTTCTCCTTGTCCTTGCCAACATTTGGCATTGTCACTATTTTTTATTTTAGTTGTTCTTGTAGCTATATTGTTATTTCATCATGGTCTTAATTTGCATTTCCCTGATGTTTACAGAGTTGAACAGCTTTTTTGTGTAGTCATCTGTCAACCATACATCCTTCTGTTAAATCTCTTCATGTCTGACTCATTTTTACTTGAATTGCTTGCTTTTTACAGTTAAATTTGAGATCTTTTTATGAGTCTGTCAGCAGATAATGTGGTTTGTAGCTTATCTTTTCATCATCTTTTAAAAAATTTTTTAAATGTTTTTCAAGGCCTCAGCTAATACCATATTTTCATCATCTAAACAGGGTTTTCTGCAGAGCAAAAACTTAAATTTTGATAAAGTCCAAATTATCAATGTATTCCTCCATGAGTCCATATTTTTGGTATTACATCTAAGAACTCTTTAACAAACCAAGGTCCTGAATAATTTCTTTTATGCTACCTCATAAAAGTTTCATAGTTTTATGTTTCCATTTAAATCTACAATTTATGTTCAGTTAATTATTGTTTACAGTATGAGGTTTAGGTAGAGATTCACTTTTCCCTATAAGACATCCAACTGCTCCAGTAACCTTGTTGAAAAGATTTTCTTTCACTGAACTACATCTATAGCTCTGTCAAAAAAATCATTTAGTCTTACTTGTGTAGTACTATTGCTAGATTCTCTAATCTGTACCATTGATCTATGTGTCTATCCCTCCACTAATTTCACACAGTCTCGATTACTGTAGCTATACAGTAAGTGCTGAAATCAGGGAGAGTGATAA